GACATCACACTAGATTATTTCAACAATAAAGGAATGACGATGACTCATTCAAGCAAATTAATAAAGTAATAGATATACAAACACGATATGCACAGTTTCAGTGAAATCTGTAAGGGCCTAGCAAAAATGATTTTTTACTTCGACTCAATATGGACTTTTCTGATGCTGAAAATGGAAAGAAATCAAGTCGTTTCACGTAATATTCTTATACTCAATAACCGTCGAAATCTGTCGTATACACATATCCAATGCTCTTCGATGCATGACATGTATCGATTTCTGTATTGATATGTCTTACTCATATTCATTAAATGTAAAAAACATTGATCATTTTCATACTGAGTGTCCTTTTCTAATAAGAAAATAAAAGAAAAAAGTTTGTATTGATTTTTTTCTATCAAACGAAAGAAAAAGAAGGTTGATTTCTTTATTAAGTAGAAATTTCAATTTGATTTTAGATGGATGATATTCAAATTAATAATGATAATGATAATGATAATGATATTCTATTTGAATTTCAAAGTTACGAAGAATTTCGAAGAGAACGATTGAAATTAAATAATGAAAGTACATTAAAATTATGGTATTCATTACCTTCGAATCTGACAAATATTGATAATAAACTATTCCGACGACAAGCGCTTCGACAACAGAGAAAACGATTAAGAAATTTCAAATTTTTTGCAATCTATTCTTCATTTTTGAAAAAAACATTTCTCAAAAATAAAATTCGTTCAAAAGGTAAGGAAAATAAAGAGTTGGTTTAATATATTAGACATTATTTTAATTGTGAATAGGTTTTCAACTTTGGAATGAAGCATTTAATATTCCACCATTAAAAGATGAATCTCTTTATGGAATATATCAATCACTCGGAGATATTACTAATCAATTTTTAAATAAAGGTCAAGAATATGATCCTAAAATAAGGTATGAAGAATTATTCAAAGCTGGTCGTACTGTTTGGTTTATGATCGCTTTTCAAATCCAAATGAATTTACCATTAATTTTAACAGATTCAATATTTGGTTATAATATGCTTTATCCATATACAGATGATTTTATTGATTCCAATCAGGTACCAAGAGAAGCAAAAAAAGAATTCACTAAAATATTTCATAAAAGATTACTTTTTGGTGAATCAATATATAATCCAGATGCACATTTTCATGGAAAACAATCAGATGTTAATCATTTAAATTTATCACCATCATTAGAAGCACATGCCGATAGAGTAGGAAAAATCTTTGACATGACCAAATTTATTGAAAATGATTGGAAACGTAATGA